AAAAAAAAAAAAAAAAATGAAATAAAATAAAAGAAGCGCGCTCGCGAGTGCAATAAAACAGTTCATCTCGATCTTAATGACCGTCCGCGCGAACACAATGAAATTGTTTCGTATGTATATTATACCTACGCCTCTTCCATCACTCGGTACACGTACGCGTGACATAATGAATTATCATTACCGCGACTCGCTACCTACACCGATGAAAATAAGGTCACTCAATTAGCTTCGATCGATTGTAACGCGTGATTAATTAACAAGGGAGCTATAGGGGGAAAATACAAAAAAAAAAAAAACCGTCAATTACACTTTTACATTTTATTCATTACCACGAGCTACTCAAAATCTCTATAAAACTATCTCTAGCTGCGTGTCCGCGGTTACGCATAATTTATGGCACGCGTAGGGTACAGAGTATATATATGGACGCGCACGCGTCTCCCCATGCTATATTATCGAGGCATCATCTACGTCTCTCGCGGAGAATTCCTAATTCGAAAGATGTCCGGAGGCTAAGACTTTTTGCTTTTATATACGATGTTTCTTGTGCAATCCTTCTTTTTTTTTTTTTTTTTTTTTTTTTTTTTCCCTTCTTTCACATCCATATACACACGCCTGAGGATGTAAATTCCGAGCCTCTTCAAAATTCACAACGCAGGTAGGTATAATATAATTGACGGGATTACGTTAATGTGTATTAAAAAGAAAAAAGTTCACGGATCCTCAATGTGTAACCGAATCGCGGAGGTACGAACGTAATAACCCCGTACATACGTATATTACCCTTACATAATGCATATTATATATATATATTCATATTCTATTACGTGGCTCGAAAGAGCCAAAGTTAACATCGACAGCGAAAAAACTGCTCGTATATGTATATACAAATGTACGTGTGCACACGAATCGTCACGACATACCTATGTAATAATGACAGTAACAACAATGATGCATAATAGAAGAGAAAAAGAAGAAGAAGAAAAAAAGGGATACTCACTGTTTACGCACTTTTCGGGTTTGGGTAGCGAGAGGAATCGGCCGGGCTTGTTGCTAGGAGTCCGCACCTCGTTGATCGCGGCACTCGCTATCGTCGCCAAAGCCACCACGAGCAGCGGCACCAGCATCATCTGCGACACGCAATTTTTTTTTTTTTTTTTTTTTTTTTTTTTTTTTTTTTTCATCATTGAGTCGTTAAGATCGTCCTTGTGGATTTTCTTTTTTTCTTTTTTTTCCTATCGTACATATATATATATGCATGATGTGTATGTATATGAAAGCTATACCGGCGACGGTGCGACGAGAGATGTACTCGATGCAGCTACGTTGTCTGTCTATGTTTTCGCGCAACACAAGCGAGATCTGGGTCAACGGACGCAAAACCGATCTTTGCGATGCGCTCGCTTGCGTAAGAGGAAAACGACAACAAAATATGACAGCGGGTGTATTTTAACGCGTGCGCCGAAAGGGCGCATAGAGAGAAAAAATTAAATAATAGAATAAATGCCCGTCGAAAGAAAGAATTTCTGGCGCACCCTTTGCTCTCGTCGCACTTTTATCGCACGGGTACATGTACATCTTCACATGTGTACGTAAGCACCTTTTCTTTTCACCAAATCGAAAGATTACAGGGGGGGAAAGCGTTTTTTTTTTATTTTTATTTTTTTATTTTTTTTTTGGTTTTTTGGCACACGAGAACCACACGATCGAGAGAGGGAGAGAGAGAAAGAGGTGAAAAAAGAAAATGCTTTCCTCGGCTACGACAACGGCGACGGGGAGATCGGTATCGCACTCACCTTGGACACTAGAGATCGGGAGAGGAAGGATAAAATATGTATGTAAATCGGCTCTATTCGGTTAGTGAGACTCGCGGTTATGGCTCTTATGGAGAGATAGTCGGCCGCGGCGTGTCTTTTATAGAGAAAGAAGCGCCGGGCCGGATTCCTCCCCACCGATCGGCCGATGGGGCCCCTTGTACGTCCCACCTTCTTCTCGATGGGGGAGGGGGGGCGATCTCGTGCATTATCCTCCCACCTTTTCTTCCTCTCCTTTGGCTCTCTGACCTTACATCTCGAGCTTGTGTGTCACACGTATAATATATACTCACAGCGCCCGCGAATTATTACGTCTGTGCCTAGATGCATCATTTCCCTCCAGGTGCTGTCTTTCTTTCTTCTCTTTTTTCATGAAAAATATATAGTGTTTTTTATCTTTTTTTTTGTAGGTTGAGATGCTTCGGCGATTGCAAACTGATGGACGCAGCCATTATAATATATACGAACAACCAGTACAATAGTTCTTGAAAAAAAAAAGAAAGAAAGAAAATATGTGTCACGCAGCTAATGAATACAAGATTCAATTATTCGAGTGATTAATTAATAAAACATTGGATTGTGCAATTTTTTTTTCTTTGTAACACATGTACCATGACGTCGGTCTTTCCGACTGTAGATCTGGAAGAAAAATTCGACTTGGATGATGAAAAAAGCATATACTGAATTCAAGAGGCCACGGAGATTTCGACGCTCGATCGGGCACTTTGTGAGCGCCGCTATACGACTTTTGCTGCCAGAAAATATTAATGAAAACGAAGAAGACCACTTGCCTTTTCGTCATACATACGCACGCGGACAAAGTTTGTTCATCGGAATTTCAAGCCCTTACGCATACATTATAATAACACCATCTCGATGGATCATAAATATTCACGGTTACCTCGAAATACAACCGTAAAAACTATGTAAACCAACGTACACGTATATTTATATATACCTTCCCCGCGTTTTCGTCGACATCGCGTTTCCTTTCTATATACGCTTCGACACCATCTGCAATTAGTCTACGTGTGCGCACCATATACTTAGCAATTGCAGAGCATCTTTGTAAACAAGAAAATTCGTATATATATACACACAAAGTCGATCGAAGGGAGAGAGAGAAGAAAAAGGGCGATTAGCGCGCGATGCGGCGCTAATTTGGCCCCCTCCGGTTAATTTTTTTCACACACATTTTCTTTTTTTCCCTACGCATTGTTGTCATTCGAGTAAGTTATATATATATATAGATCGATTCTTCAACCAGTACTGAATTGCCGCACACATACATTTTTCACGCGTTCACGAGTCTCACGGGAACTTGTACAAAACATGTACACACGTTTTCGTAACGATTGTTAAATTTTCAGCGGCGCGTAATTGATTTGAGTCGTTTGTCATTGTGCCAATTGCGATATACCGAAGGAGAAAATAAAAATGTCGAAAATCGTGTATAATAGTATGTGGCGATAGGCGCCACATTATTCCGATTTAATATTCAGCGACGAGAGAAACGCTTCTTTTTTAACTTGCCCGTGAGGGAGCACTTTGAATGATTTTCGCGTTGCGTACACTCAAAATTTTTAGTTTTATTTTACAGCTCGTTTGATATTGGGTTATTTTCTTTGTTTTTTCATTCGATGTATACGTACGAGCTTCGCTCAACATTCATAATATTTAATTTTTCATATGATATCGTTCATTCGTATTGGGTGAATGGTAGAAACACGAACATGTATAACCTGGAGTGCATACAGTTAGAGTTCGTGGCAGGTGCTTTGTGGATAATGATGCAAAACAAGGAAAAATAGCATAATTCGCACAAAATCCTCCAACACCATCCGATTTTGATTAAACATTTTTTTTTTTTTTTTTTTGGTACACCCTAGAGATAGGGCTTATTTCCCTCGCAATATATCACGTACCATGAGGGAAAAATCATGATCACGGGTTTCAGTGGTGGTGATTTTAGTGACTTTTCGTTTTGTTATTTACATGGAAAAAATACTGCATGAGTTTTCCCTCAAGGTACATGACATATTGCGAGGAAAATAAGCCTCAAAAAAATTTTTAATTAAAAACGGACGACGTTTTTGGCAGTATTTTTGTGCATCTCTTTACTTAAATAAGATTATGCTTTTGAATGGGTAGTAATTTAATTATTGGTCCCTGGAGGTCATCATTTCCGATGCGTAGTTAATTTTTCGCTCGATGACAAAGCCCACGAAGGTTCTTCCCCGATAAACTAAACTATCGCGCGTCCATAAATTTGTATGAAGTAGCGTCAAATCACTTTGACATATTTAATGGATCGATAAAGGTAATCAACCGACAGACCTTAAAAATTGTCATTTTTTTTTTTTTAAGGTCTCCTCGTGTGTCCTTTATTGTCCGACCCAAAAAAAATTTCCATCACGAATAATTTACAAGTATAATTCACCCGTCGTGTGTCCACACGCGATAATCGGCCCTATGAAACAAAGCCTTGCCCCTAAAATATAGTAATCAATTAGGCATCGTTACTACCGCTTGGTGAATAAAAAAAATGTGTCGCGGTTGGAATGCCCCACAGGACGAAAGGGGGGAAAAAAAAAACTAGCAACACCAACCAGGAAAAAAAAGAGAGGTGGGTTTGTTGTATGGAGAAGAAGAAGAAGAGTAAGAGTTGTAACGAAGAGACGTAGAGAAGACTCTCCTTCGTCTGGTCTAACCTTGGAGTCTCGGCGATGAGACCTAACTCGTTGGCTTTCACCGGTTGGTCGATACCTATGTAGGTATATCCTGCAAAGAGCTACGGTGGACTCCCGATCGAAAATAAAGATACCAGCTGATACGAGAACTGACCGCGCTGTGCGTGTATGGGATTTATGCCACCAAAAGAGAGAGATGGAAGATGATGGAACAGAGAGATCTCGTGACTTGCTCGTTTTATGGTGTCAATGTCAACCTCTCCGGAGAGAAGATGACACGGGTGTCGTGTCCTTTTACTTCTTGGTGCACAAGCCAAGAGGTTTTTTTTTTTTTTCCTTTTTCGCGTCTAGTTTTTACACGATGCCTATACAGTTACATCGGTATACGCATGGACGTATAAATTTTTGTTTCGATGACGGTCCTCGTGCGGATTACGCAAAGCGGGAATATCAAAAAGAGAAGAGTCAAACATGGTCCATAATTATATACCATCCGTACCAGGATGGGCTCACTTGTATGCAAATGCATACGTGCTTATAATATATTATAATGTACGCTAGCGGGACGAGGGTTTCAAGAGCCGCGTTTTCTCTCTCTCTTGCCTTATTTTCCTTCGGAAAGACTTTCGATGTACGTGATGCACCAGTAAAAGAGATTATGTTATTTATATGGACAGTCTGTCTCGCCAAATGTCAGATTCGGATCGTTCAAGTTCTCGTGTCCCTCGATTGTTTTTTCGTGTATTCGATCCGTCACTTTTGACGGGAAATCGATGTTTTTGGGGGAGGCTGCCGTCCATTTATTACTGCGACGAGACAATATACAGTGGGATATATTTCGTCGGGAGTTGCGTGGACCTTACGAGACAGTTTTAAGCTGGGATTTTTTGAAATGTGACTTGTTTTTTTTTTTTTTTTCATCACAAGTTCATTAATATTGAACGGTTTCCAATATTCGATAAATGGGAAAAAATGGATACAAATACCATATTATTACCTACATTTTTTGATATTAAAAAGGATTCGTAAAATGTAGGGTTTAACACAGATGTTTTTTTGTCACGCGTAATTGTATATATACAGAAACACTGATGTTGTATGGGAAACTCGATTGTTCAATTATTTTTTGTATACCATCAAACGCGCACTTTAAAAAAGTGATAATAAAAATGATGAAAAAATTCAATATTATTATTATTCAAATATTCGTTCGTTAGATCCACGGACCATTGATTCGGTAAGAGCATCATCAAATTTATTCAGAAAGCCATTATAGCGCTAAGCTAAAAAAAAAAAATTCTCCCACGATAAATCCATCCAGCTGCTGGCGTCTAAAATTAAAATAGAACTTTGTGATGAGCTGAATTGGCAGAAAAAAAAATAATAATAGTAAATAAAAAAGAATCGATGGATCATAAATATTCACGGTTACCTCGAAATACAACCGTAAAAACTATGTAAACCAACGTACACGTATATTTATATATACCTTCCCCGCGNAAATTAAAATAGAACTTTGTGATGAGCTGAATTGGCAGAAAAAAAAATAATAATAGTAAATAAAAAAGAAAAAAAAAGATTGCAATGAGAAATAATCGCAGAATTCGAAATTTCCGTGATGTTGTAACTTGTAACAACTTTCTGGATACAGTGTGGCAGCTGTTGGAGTTGGCGTATGTGTTGCAGAAATCTTTTGTGCGGCTTCAAGTCGGTATGGACTCGCTGATGCGGATCATTAAATTTTCGTCAACCCCAATTACATTGTTTCAGTTGAAAATACTGATTATCTGCCCCAACAGGCATAATTAACATTATTTTTCGTACATGAATACATAAAAACTAAACACATGATTAAATAATCATTAGACATCATACCAGTAGTTTCTTTTTTTGTTTTTTATTGCAATGGTCAAAACCGCGACACTATTGTATTTACATTTCAAATAATCTCCTTACTGAGAGGCAAAATAGATAATAATAAAAAAAAAAAAAAGGTTACGTAAAAAAAGTAATAATTCAAATCATACGATCAAAATCAAACGTTACGAAAGTTCATAAAGTTAAATAAGCGTTACGAGTCAGGGGTGTGTACACGCGTATTCAAATGGCAGCGCCAATGATGTCTTTTATGGACTATACCCTATAAATAATACAGAGAGTCCTCGCCGTTTCCAAATTTTCACAAGATATTATCGTGTCGGTGAAAAAAAAAAAAAAAGGTCCATCCCGCACATTTTTTACGAGCCCATAATCGGTTTAGTGCTAAGTATATCGAGAGTCAGGGGACACATGGCACCGCGGAGAGCATCACAATTCGAATCGGAAGGCGCGACTCCGAGGCGCCGGACGGTGAGGGAAAAAAA